ATAAATATAACCGTTGGATCAACATAATCGATCTAACGGTAAGATTGATTGGTAGTCACTTGGTTGTCATAATATCTTTTCACAATATTTTATTCAAAAAGTTTGACGATCTGAATTATTGTTTTCCCTAAGCCACCTGTAGTCATTTTCCCTACTTAATTTTGTCCCAATTTTCAAATAATGATGGCTTAGACGAGACGCAACAGCTGTTTTAGAGAAAGAGGACAAAGCATATATGCAAGTATATCTGTGTATAATTGTATTCATGCATAGTTTTATCATTTTTATTTTTTTATTATCTTCGATTCAATATCAATAAATGAATAGAAATTTATTTAATTAAAGGATAATGAAAAAATATTTAATTAAAGATTATTAGAAGCGATAATTAATATTAAAGAGTTTATTAAGTAATCAACAGTATGAATAATCATTTTCAAAGTATTAATTATAATAAAAAAAGTAATGTATTTATTATTTTTAAATATATATATATATATATATATATATATATATATATATATAGGAACATCTAATCTCATGTTGTAAGAAATACTCCTCTCATGCCATGGACATAACATATGGTGGGTCCCACCATATGTTAAAAAAATAAATAACAAGACACATTTATTGATGTATCTACAAAATAAGATAACTCTCTCCTACTACATAAGAAAATAATTTTTCATATATATATGTAGAGGTAGGATTCTTTGACACCAGTGCTAAATTTAAAATTTGACACCTTATCTGAGAGCCGATCAAAAAAAGATCAATGGTGTCACATGCTTACAAATCAGAGTCGTTGATCTTTTTTGATCTAATGGCTTTCAGATGAGGTGTCAAATTTTAAATTTGATACTGGTGTCGAAGATCCTACCTCATATATATATATATATATATATATATATATATATATATATATATATATATATATATAGATGAAATTATTATATTCGAATTAAGATAAAACTCAAAGTCATAAGAATTGTGCAGTCGGAGTGAAGTCCAATAACCGAAGAGAAAGACTGAAACGAAAAAGCAGCAGCAGAGCATTTCAAGATGTCCATAATATATTTTTTAAAAATCGTTCCCCTACTTACCATTTTGCCCTTCACCAATCCTGATCATAGAAGAAAAATGGTGAAGGAAACAAGAGAAGGTTCAATTCAAGAGACATGCTCACAAAAGAAAAGGATTGTGAGTTCTGTAGTAATGCCTCTTATGAGAATTGTGAATAATGAGTTTGGACATTGCCAAAGAGTTGGGCATATTCTCTTCACTTGATAAAATAGTTTAAGCCTTTATATTGATTGTCGTTCCAATGTTATTGTGCAGTTTCAAAAGAAGTGTTTTTAAATATGGGTTTGAATCCACAAAATAGTCTCTTTCACAAATATAAGGTTGTTCCTTACTCCTATTTTTTGTAAGTCGGGATTTCACGAGTGGTTTTTTTTATCCTAATGTCCTCGTTCCATCTTATTATGATCCAAGGTGCCATCTGAATTACTTTTATCATTATGCACCAAACCAATTATTGCTTTAATAATTGTCTGCTTCAATTATTAGTTATTATTATGATATGCACCCTTTTACTATACATGCTAACATGTTTGATAGCTCTGCTTCCTATGGAACCATTTACAACTGTTGGAAATGATGCTTTTTCACATTAAAAGAGTAAAAACCTTTTGAGTAGTGCCCTAGATATAATATAACACACTCTTCTAAAACGGAGTTAGAAGTCTTTAAAGCCTAAATAGACCCTTTTGTTTACCTTAGTATCATTTTCGTATGGAAAAAGTATGTGTCATTTTAAAGCATGTAAAGTTGTGTCATTTTAAGAGAGAGAAAAAGATAGATAAAGGAAGAGATAGAGTTGACCAAAAAAATAAAGGTATGGATTTCACCTCTTTGTAAGAGTGAAATAATATAAGTTATATTATTTAAAAGGATAAACACTTTTCTCTTTTCTTATATATTCCTACTAAGTCACTAGGATCTACAATTACCATATGTGAGCCTAGGTTGGGCATACATACTAGTGTGTTTGTGTCGGCTAAACTTTCTTGCAGTCCTATGGTAATTCGTTGTTTTATAGTTTTATGATGTTCTTCTTATAATTTCTTTTAATGTGTCATTGTGATTTCTAATATATAATTCCCTTTGATCTACGTACATCAATGGTAGATCTGAGTAGCTAAGTCTTTTTGTTTTTATATCTACCATCTTTTCGTGACAAATATTATCTTGGTCTCTTCTTTCTTGGCCTAGTGATTAAGTGTCGTGTGAAGTAAATTTTTGGTACATCTAGTGTCCTAAACTCGGCACACCCGTTTATTAAAATGGATAATTTTTTTTCACTTTAACTCTTGCTTTTCTTTTATATTTTTTTTATATCCCTTCAAATTTTTCTCATTTAGTAAACGGGAATATCGAGTTTGGTACACCCGTAATATCTATTGCCGTGGCGGTGATTTGTTTTGCTGTCACTTATTACCTTGATTTTTTCGTTGAAAATTTCAGATTTATGATGCCGTATAATATTACCCTTACATCAGTAAAAAATATTTGGTTATTGATTGTTATCGATACAAAATTATATTATATTATGTACTAAAAAAAATTATATTCATACTTCCTTTCAAGAATTTGTATCAGTATAACTGTGAGTGTGCGTGATAATATTCTTAAAAATATTTTTTTTTTAGTTTGTAAAACAGAAATAATTAGGAATTGTGTTTGATTAAATGAGTTTATTTGTTGGAATAAATCGGTAGCTAAAGAATAATTTTTTTATTATTGGATACACTATTTATTAAATAAACACATTTTACATTGTAAAATATGTTATCAAAAAAATTTTGTTAAAAAAAAATTATTTATCCACAAAAATATGACCCGGGAATATTTTGATTGCCAGTTTTTTAATTGAATTGAATTGTAATTTCTTTTATTAACTGCAACAGACCTTGTTCAACTTTTATGTTGAATAATGTTATTTAATAATTATTAAAGTCAAAAAAATGTTTATTGATGTTGTAATTTGTAATTATTAGATAATATTATTAAAATTTTACATTAAAACCAATTCTTTTGTGCATTGTTAATCTTTTTGCCTTAGAAACGTAAATATATAGCATTACATCTCCATTCTCCATCATATGATCTGTCAACAACCGTGGTCCCACGTCGAATATTTAGTCTAATGAATTATTAATTGTAGGATCCATAATCATTTCTTCTTCTACCAATGAGATGAATCTTACTTTTTACGAAACAACCAAAAGTTTAAATGTTAGAAAATATAGTTGGCGGGATGATTTATGGATTTTATTAGTGTTATGTAACATAATGTAAGTGTTGTTTCCAACTCTTACATCAAAAGGGAGAGAAAAAGTGAAATGATGAAAGAGAAAGAAAAACATGTGGATCTCACCTCTTTAATGTGTGTGTAAGAAAGTGAAGTTATATTATGTTAAATGATAAACATAAAACTCATGATTTATTAGCCATTTTGAGGAATAGAGTTCGTTTGTTTATTTAAAAAAAATGTTTGAAAAATTTGAAAATAATTAATAAATTTTTTAAAAGTATAAGTTAAAAAAATAATATTTTTTAAAGTTTAAAAAATTAAGGTCTAAAATCAAATTTTAAAAATTATATCATTAAATTTTGGTTTTAATGTTTATAAAGTGAATGTAGATAAGTTATCTACATTCGTTCCCAAAACGACGTCATTTTTGGATGAAAAATTAAAAAATTATAATGAAAAATATTATTATAACCCTGAAATAAATTATAATTGCAAAAATATCTTGATTTCCGCCATCAAGTGATGTTGTTTTAGGCTCACTATAGATAAATTATCTACATTGACAGTAGAAAAATTGAACCCTTAAATTTTTTTCTAAAACTTTTTCAAGCATCTTTGTCCCAAAATAATGTTTCCGCTTATGTTGAGTCAAACGAAAAAATAATTCACGTTTGGTTTTTTTTTTTTTCTAAAATAGAAAGAAAGAAAGAAAACAATCATAGGTATGTAATAATTCTATTTGCATAAAAAGGTCTCATTGGTCTCGTGTCGATTCGTCGGTGATTGCTCAATCAATTTTGTTTTAGATGCAAAATACTCTCTCAAATCTGCGTATGATACAATCATTCAAATAAATATTAATTTCTTTCAGATCCACCTATTTTCACCTTAAATAATTCCTTTTAGATCCACATCTCATGCCCCATCACCGTTCCACCCTGATTTGACCAACACACTCTGTTTTTTTTTGTTATTTTCCCTTATTTCCACAGTTTTCTTGGCATATCATATTAACAATAAGTCACGGTGATAGAAAAAAAAAATAAGAAAATTAGCAATGCATTCACATCGCAATTTATTGTTATCATGATCTATTTCAATTGATTTTCAAGAGAAATACTTTAAATTTTATAAATTATCAAATAAAAAATTGATTTTCAAGAGAAACCATCACACTTTTTCAATTGAATTGAAATTAAATTCCATGAAGAAATACTTAAATTTTATGAATTATCAATATACTATTGAAAATTGTTTTTATTAAGGAATAACTCTTCTGAGAACTTAATACATGTTTGATTTCGTGTTTTTTTTTTGTAACAACTAGCTTTTGCAACTGAAACTTTATATTCTGTTGCGTAGGGAAATAATTATCTCATGTTGCATGGCATGATTATCTCATGAAACTGAGACAAAATAGTGAAATTCATTATTTTATTTTATTTTTAAAAAAGTAATAGATCCCATAATTTTATCCATGTTACATGAGATAATTATCTCATGAAACATGACATTAATAGATTCTTAACTGTTTACAACCATAACTATAATAAAGTTAAGTTATTGTCCAAAAAAAAATTAAAATTAGGTTTGAAAATAGATGGAATAATTTTGGAAGGAAAATATTTATTTATTTATTTTTGGTCAATAGAAAATATTTATTTTACTCACGAGAGCAGGATGAGGGTTTCCGCATGGTAATAGCGCCTGCCGCAGAAAAACAAAACCTAATTTACCAAATTTGGACAGAGAGATTCTCATATCTTAAGATCCTTGTTCTGTTGTGTTAAATTTAATCCTCAGACTCGCCTCTGTCTGTCTCAATTTCCAAATCGCTGCAATATGATTCCTCACTGAAGCAGAACATGTATGAGGTTCTTCAAAGCTCTTCCTTTTTTTTTTCCTTTTTTCTTTTTTCTTTTTTTCTTTTGTGTCTCTTCTTTCTTTTAGCTCAAAATACTGCATGCATTTTTATTTTATTTTTGGAGATTATAATACTGCATGCATTTTGTGTACTTTATTTTTTCTCTCTCTCCAAAATGGAGGAAAAAAAAAAAAAGACTGGGACTTTTTTGCTGGATTTTGTTGTTTTGTGTAAAATGTGCATAATCTCGTTGTGACTATTTTGTTACATGGTTATCCAATTTGGGCCAGACAAGATAACATGCTCATAGCATAAATTCTTATTTTTTTGATGATCTTAAACCAATGGTTAATAATTTATCTTGTTTCTTTTTGAAGTGTCTTCTATTGTATGCAAGCAAAGGATGACAATGTCTTTGTTTGATGTCCTTTTGTGCACTGTAATACCTTGAAGCAGGATATGGCTAATACAAAGGACTCTTGGTTTTTTGACAAGAATTTTAATGGTCTGTTAGATGAGACTTTTGATGATGTCATCAAGTTTTTTGATTTCCCACCTGAAGATGTGGAACCTAATGTTGTGGAAGAAGACTGGGATGCTCAATTTAAACGCCTTGAAGAGCCATGTTTTGATGTTTTTTCAGCATCATTAGGTGGGCTGCATGGCAAAACTCAAATTGAAAATCCCAAACTTGGGAAGAGTGTGTCTGTTTCTGTGAGTATTCTTGCCACAATTATGTTGTATTGGAATGCAGCTTTTAATGTCTTGTTATCTGCTTAATTTCTCCTAGTAGTTATGTACATAGAATGTCACAATTATACTTCATTGCGGTGCTCTTATATTTGATGAATTAACTATGTGCTTGATTTTATTATGTGAAACTGGATTAACATGAATGAATCAACGTTGAACAACAAATTTTGATGCTTTAGGTCCTTTTTTGTAAGTTCAGTTACTGGCAATGGCCATTTTGTTTGATATGATCTATATTTTGTGAATGAATTGTTTTTCCTGGACTTTCATCAAAGACCTTTTGATAGGAAATGTTAATATTGTAACTTGGACAACTGTGAGTTTTAATAGTTGGAATTTTTGCAGGAGCTGTCCTTTTGTTACTTAGGCAACTATGAGTTTTTACAGTTGGAATTTTTGCAGGAGCTGTGACTTCTAAGGAAAACTAGAATGGTGTTGTCTAGGAATTTTGTCAGATTGACAAAATTAACGTTGGTAATCAAGCTACTTCATGGGGTAAGAGAAGAGATTTGTAGAATGAATTTGGTCTTGTTAGGAGAATTGGAGTAAAAAAGTGGAAGATTCAAATGTTAGAGATTCAGTTTTCAGCATTTAATTAATAGGCACGAATATTGTGCAACTTTAATTGCATACTACGTGCTTTAATGTCTACTAGTTAGCTGTTTCTGCTAGTAAGGAGTAGGACAAGGAGCAATGCTGACTTTGTGATGGTACTCTGAATTCCCTTGAAAGTGTGCTGCTGATGTGTTTATTCATTATTGGCGGTAACAGGAAATCATAATTAAAGAAGTATAATAGTTGACAAATTGTTGAGAAAAGTTGCTTCATTTCATCTGCTACTGATCCAAAATGTCCTGGAGATGCTGCTATTTTTCTGTCGGTAGTGCTCAGCCTTTTATGCACGTAAAGTTAGAACTTCTCAGGGGTTGCAAGACAAAGGGAGGAGGAAAGTAGGAAGCTGGTGGTAATCTCTTTCCTCTCCCATTCAGGTTGCAGAAACTCCTTCTCTTGGTATACGTTGTGGATGACAGTAGAAGGTTTTAAAAAAGACAAAAGGGAAAGCAACAGAGAAAAAAAATTAATGGGAAATGGATCATCTGATTAATTTTTAGTTATGTAATGGATAAGATTATCAATCATAATTGTTAGGTTCTAAAATTCAAAATAAATGTGTGTTGTAAATATTAGAATTTTATCTATTTATTTGTATTAGCTAGAATACTCTAGAAGTGTATTTTGGGCTTAGCCCATTAGGTCTTTCAGTACTCTTTAAATAGAGAGCTCTTGTACAGATATTATACGATTCAATAATATACAAATCTTCTTTTCTAGTTGGTATCAGAGCTCTTGATTCTGAGGGCTCTGCTTCCGCAAATCACCGCCTTTAAAAATCAAACCCTATTTGCCTCTCGCATCCACAAAGCCGCCATCAGAAAAAAATTTCCGAGGACCTTTTGGACCATGAAGACCCCTGTTTCACTCCGTTTTCTCAGATCTATCATTCTACGGAGGTTTCTTTTTCATTAGATGACTAGAACAGCTCAAAAAAAAAACAGAAGAGAAATTTATTTTATTTTACTGTTCATCGCCACCAGCCACCGGGAAAATTTTCCAGCCCTTATTATGTCAGACGTTGAAGATACTCCAACCTGTCAATCATCTGGTACATGCTCGATGGCTATTCTTTCTCCAAATGACCTCCCTTTTCTTCATCAGAATTACCGTCTTAATGGGAAGAATTATTGCAATGGTCCCAGCTTGTTCGTATCATCCTTAAAGGACATCATAAAATTACTCATCTTGAAGGACCTGTTCTTGCCAAAACAGATCCAAAATTTGCTGACTGGGATGATGAAGACTCTCTTATTATGACGTGGCTATGGAACTATGACTCTTGAGGTTAGTCAACATTGCATGTTCTTACCTACTGCTCTTGAGATCTAGGATGTTCTTAGACAAACTTACTCAATGAAGCAAGATGTTGCCACCTGATATGATCTAAGGAATAGGATTTTTTCTACCAAGTAAGGCTCTCTCTCTCTATAACAGAGTATTATGGTATTATGAATGGGTTATGGACTGAGCTTGATCAATAAGAGTTTGAAGATGGAGTGTAGCAAGGATGCAGCCACTCTGACCACCTCCATTGAACGCAATAGGATCTTTGATTTTCTTTGTGGTCTCAACTCATAGTATGTCCCTATTCGAGTTCAAATTCTTGGTAAGGAAAAATTACCTTCTTTTTCTGAAGTTTTTCACACTGTCAGGGGTGAAGAAAGTCGCAAGGCTGTCATGATGGATACCAAAGTGTCTGAATGATCTATTATGCTCTTATCTAAAGTTACTACTCCAACTCCTTCTGATTCTAAGCCCACTGACGGGTCTGCTATGGTCTCAGCTAAGCCACCTCCAAGATATTTTCCTCCTAAGCCTAGTAAAGAGGGGCGTTGGTGTAACTATTGTAAAAGACCAGGTCACACAAAAGAGGTTTGTTACCGTCTTCATGGAAAGCAACAGGTTCAGGAGAAGCTTGGTAAGTCAACCTCACGTGGTCAGTCCTTCTTTGCCCCCTTAGACATTTCTACTGTGAATGAGACCTCACAGATGCCTGGTGAGTTTACTACTATTCGTCGTGAGGAATTGGAACGACTTAGGTCCGTATTTGAATCTCTCAATAAGCCTTCTGATACTGGTACTTTGGCTATGACTGGTAAGAACTCGTGCACTTATTCTTTTGTTGCTTCTTGTACTGATTTCAAAACTTCATGGATTGTGGATTCTGGTGCTACTATTCATATGACTTGCTGCATTGACCTTTTTCTTTCTTATAATCCTACTGTTGGTATCTGTACTATAGTTGTAGCTGATGGATCACACACATCAGTTGCAGGTTCTGGTAACATTAGAATCCAACCCTTCTCGTGTCTCAAGAATGCTCTCCATGTTCTCCAACTTTCTACCAATCTCCTTTCTACTCCTAAGCTTACTACATATTTGAATTGAACTGAAACCTTTTTCCCTACTCATTGTGTTTTTCAGGATCTCATCACGGGAAAAACGATTGGAGTTGCTAAGGAGCAGGGTGGGTTGTATTATCTGGTTCCAGACTTTGCTGCAGAAGGTACCAGGGATCAGAATTTGATGACTCGTCAGTCTACTTCAAATTCTCTTATTTGGCTTCATCACAAGCGCTTGGGTCATCCTCTTTTTAGTTTACTTAGGTCTATGTTTTTGTCTTTGTTTGTGTCTCAGTTTGTTGAGTCTTTTAATTGTGATGTTTGTCAGTTTGCAAAACATCATCGTGTATCCTTTCCTTCTGGTGAAATAAAAAGTATTAAACATTTTACTATTATTCATTCTGATGTTTGGGGACCTTCCAAAGTCCCTAATATTTCTGGTGCTAAATGGTTTGTCTCTTTTATTGATGACTAAACTCGGATAACATGGATATTTTTTATGAAAGATAAGGCAGAAGTGACATAGTTGTTTATTCAGTTTTATTATATGATTGAAACCCAATTTGGTAAAAGTATCAAATGCTTGAGATCAGATAATGGTACAGAATATGTTAATCAGCGTCTTTCCCAATTTATTAAAGACAAAGGAATGACTCATGAGCTCACATGTGTGGATACCCCCTCAACAGAATGGGGTTGCTAAAAGGAAAAATTGACATTTGCTTAAGTCACCAGAGCATTGTTGTTTCAGACATCTGTACCCAACTCTTACTGGGGAGAAGTTGTATTAACTGCAGCTTATTTGATTAACCGGTTACCCTCTCGAATCCTTGGCCATGTAAGTCCTGTTGATCTCATGACTTCTTTCTTTCCTTTTGTTCCTATTATGCAGAGTCTTCAGTCTCATGTCTTTGGATGTGTTGCCTTTGTCCATGTCCATAAACAACATCGGAGTAAATTAGAACCTAGAGCCCTTAAGTGTATCTTCCTTGGCTATGCTCCTAACAAGAAAGGATGCAAATGTTACCACACTCCAAGTCGTAAATTTTTGTTTCTATGGATGTTAGCTTTCATGAATCTGAGTCCTACTTTCAACACCCTCAGCTTCAAGGGGAGAACAATATAGAAGCTTCATTCATTTTCTCTGAGTCTGAGTTTGAGTCTCCCTTTCAGTTGCCTACACCTATTACCCAAGTTGAGAATGAAGACTTAGTTGCTAAGACTGAAAATGGATCTGAATCCTCATGTGACATGCCTCCTATTGATCTACGCAAAGTTGGGACACCTGTACTAGTGTATCAAAGGAAGAAACAACCCACATTGCTCCATCAGCAACTGCAATCGCCTGAACCGCTGGTATGTACTGAATACACTACTTTTATTCTTGAGCCTGATATTAATTCTAATGACTTACCCATTGTTGTAAGGAAAGGGAAAAGATCTTGTACCCAACACCCTATTTCTCATTTTGTTTCCTCTAAGAATCTCTCTATGCAGCATAGAAGTTTTATTACAGCACTTTATCCCGATATCAGTACATGAAGCATTAAAGGATGATAATTGGGTTCAAGCCATGCATGATGAGATGAATGCGTTGGAGAAGAATAATACATGGGAAATTTTTGACAGGCCAAATGGAAAAAAGGCAGTAGGGTGCAGATGGGTGTATACTCCAAAGTATAATTCTGATGGGACTCTTGAGAGATATAAAGCTCGACCGGTAGCCAAGGGGTTCACACAGACCTATGGTATTGACTACGAAGAAACATTTGCTCCAGTGGCCAAAATGAATACTGTAAGAATTTTATTATCTCTTGCTGCTCGTTTTAATTGGGATTTGAAACAATTTGATGTGAAAAATCCCTTCCTCAACGTCGAATTAGAAGAAGTTTACATGGAGATCTCACTAGGATTTAACTCTACAAATGGAGATAATAAAATTTGCAGATTGAAGAAGGCGTTGTATGGCTTGAAACAATCCTCGCGTGCTTGGTTTGGAAGATTTACCAAAGTTATGCTTTCAATAGGATACAAGCAAAGTCAAGGAGAGCATACCCTTTTCTTTAAACATTCTCAGGAAGGTAAGACCACTGTAAATAACCAATTCAACCCAAAAGCTCAAGCTGTTGGGTAAGGTTATATTAATGGTTTTATAAATCTCAACACACCCTCTCACACAAGAGCCCACTGGGCTTGAAGGGTGGACAATGCATGGGTCCACCTACTTGTGCGAAGAAAGAAATTCCACTAGAAAGAAAGTGGGGGCGGTGAGGATCGAACCCGGTACATCGAGGCTTTGATACCATATAAAGAACCAATTCAACCCAAAAGCTTAAGCTGTTGGGTGAGGTTATATTAATGGTTTTATAAATCTCAACAACCACTATCCTTCTAGTTTATGTTGACGATATGATTATAACAGGAGATGATATAGATGAGAAATGTGCTTTGAGAAAAAGACTGACTGCCGAATTTGAAGTTAAAGATCTTGGAAATCTGAGATATTTTCTTGGGATAGAAGTTGCTCATTCAAAATAAGGCATTTTTATTTGTCAACAGAAGTATGTTCTTAACCTCCTTAAAGAAGCAGGAAAACTCGGATGCAAACCTTTCAGTACTCCAATTGAGCAGAACCACAAACTAGGAAGTGAAAATGAGAGCCCTCCAATTGACAAAGGACAGTATCAACGAATAGAACCACAATTAGTATTGTTAGTCAATTCATGCATGATCCAAGGGAGAAACATTTGCGAGTTGTGGACAGGATTCTCCAATACCTGAAAGGCACACCAGACAGAGGACTATTGTTCCAGAGAGGAGGAAATCTCTCCTTAGAGGTTTATACAGATGCCGATTATGCTGAATTTGTGACTGACAGACGATCTCCTTCGGGCTATTGTATGTTTCTCTGTGGAAATTTAATAACATGGAGAAGTAAAAAGCAAAATGTGGTTGCTAGATCAAGTGTAGAAGCAGAATTTCAGGCCATGGCTCAAGGGATCTGTGAGTTATTATGGTTAAAAATCATTCTTGATGATCTCAAGGTGAGATATGAAGGATTTATTAAGTTATTCTGTGATAATAAGCTTGAGATATGAAGGATTTATTAAGTTATTCTGTGATAATAAGTCAGTCATCTGTATAGCCCACAATCCAATCCAACATGATCGAACTAAGCATATTGAGATTGATCGTCACTTCATCAAAGAGAAACTCGATAGTGGCCTGATTACTACTCCATATATCCCTTCTGGTCGTCAATTGGTTGATGTCTTGATTAAGGGTCTACCTAATGATAGGTTTCAAGAGCTTACTAGCAAGCTGGGAATGATAAATATCCATTCTTCAGCTTGAGGGGGAGTGTTGTAAATATTATAATTTTATCTATTTATTTGTATTAGCTAAAATACTCTAGAAGTGTATTTTGGGCTTAGCCCATTAGGTCTTTCAGTACTCTTTAAATTGAGAGCTCTTGTACAGATATTATACGATTCAATAATATACAAATCTTCTTTTCTAGTATGTGCTTATTACAATTATTATTTCTGTTTTATATACATTAATCATCAATATGCAAAGTTAAGGCTGTGTTCAAGGATTGCCCTACCCTCACCAGCCGGGGTTTAATAGGAAGTGTTTTTTTAATCATCATTTGTATTCAGTTAAATATGTGTTTAAAATATATTAGTTGATACCATTTAAGTTTTAAGTTTCAAGTCTCGAGCACCTTGGCACTCATGCCTTGTATTTTTTGGGTTGTTGCTCTCAGAAAGTGAGAAATGGTAACTATTGAGATATATAGTCTCACATTGGTTGTATGAGCAACTAATGTGGAGTTTATAAGGCCTTGGGCACTCCCACTCTTTGAGCTAGCTTTTGGGGTGGTGTATCCCAAGGTTCTTTACATGGTATCAGAGCCTCATGTCCCGGGTTCAAATCTCGCCGCCCCCCACTTTCTTTCAAGTGGAATTTCTTTTTTCGCACAGGTAGGTGGGTCTTTGTCCACTCTTCAAGCCCAATGGGCTTTCATGTGAGGGGGCGTGTTGAGATATATAGCCCCACATTGGTTGTATGAGCAACTAATGTGGAGTTTATAAGGCCTTGGGCACTTCCACCCTTTGAGCTAGCTTTTGGGGTGGTGTATCCCAAAGTTCTTTACATGGTATCATAGCCTCGTGTCCCGGGTTCAAACCTCGCCGGCCCCCACTTTCTTTCAAGTGAAATTTCTTTGTTCGCACAGGTAGGCTGGGCCTGTTGCATCATCCATTCTTCAAGCCCAATGGGCTCTTGTGTGTTGAGATATATAGTCCCACATTGGTTGGATGAGCAACTAATGTGGAGTTTATATATCTCAACACACCCCCTCACACCAGAGTCCATTGGGCTTGAAGGGTGGACAATGCACAGGCCCACCTACCTGTGCTAAGAAATTCCACAAGAGAAAGTGGGGAGCGGTGAGGATCGAACCCGGGACACGAGGCTCTGATACCATGTAAAGAACCAATTCACCCAAAAGCTTAATATACCATGTAAAGAACCGTGAGACACACCGCCCCAAAAGCTAGCTCAAAGGGTGGGAGTATCAAGACATTATAAATTTCACATTAGTTGCTCATACAACCAATGTGGGACTATATATCTCAACAGTAACAATATTTGGACAATGCTTGGAATTTGTAACTCTTTAGTTATTTTGAATGATGAATAGATAGATGGCTTGCATACATAGAAAGATGTAAATTTTGCTTCCTTGGTTCCTTAATAGATGAGTGTGTGTCTTATGTTCTTGTATTTGGTAAATGGTGGGAGGCAGTAAGTAAATAAATGACCCCTAACAAAAGCTATTCCTGTCTCTTCATGGATTTAAATTGAGGAATCTTCTTGCGCCTTGTAAGGTGGCTGCCTGATACAACTTGGCTGGGGCTGATCATAGATCTTGGGTTCTCCTCCGTGGATATTGTTTAATGGCAATGAAACAGAACATAATTAAGTTTACAGTGTATGTATTCATGTTTTCTTAAGAGATAAGACTATGATATGCGGTATTGCATACTGAAATTGCAAAAAGACGCATTTAGTTTGAGTGACCAAGGCTCTTTGGTCCTTGTTATAATGATTTGACTTGAAAGCATCTGATAATTGATAACTAAACTATATGAGCATATGTTTTAGCACAGTAGCAGTCCTTTCATGTGATTAGCTCTGTAGATTATAGATGTAAATATTGGAAGAAATAACCTAGGTTCCTGTTTCACTTATTATTTCAACTAAGCATATTCATTGATGTTGGATCTGATTCTTGTTTTTCCTTTTGTTGTTGGTTTGATGATTATTTTGCATTGCAGTGTAATGAGATTTCCCCAATAAAACAGCTGGCAAAGACTGCTGGACCAACATATGGAAAAACTGTTCCCAGCCAGAATGTCTCTTACCATGGGAAAGATTTGCATCAATTCCAAACCTACAGTCCAGTTTCTGTTTTTGAAAGCAGTAGTTCTGCCTCAGTAGAGAATTCCAACTTTGATCTATCTGTCATACCAGTAAAGCGGGCTCGAAGTAAACGCCTGTGTCGTTCAAGCTTCAGTCGTCTATTTTCAATTCCTTTCATCCCTTATTCACCAGCTTTGAAAAAATATCAGAGGACAGATGCCTCTGAATCAGATTTAGAAACACACCTTGCTGGGAAACTATTAAACAGAGAAAAAAAACAGAGGAAAAAGGATCTCTCCCTGCTATCTGGTGATGTTGAGATGAAGAGATCGTCATCACTGCATTCAGTTGCCTCAAGAAAATGCATGCATTGTGAGGTGACAAAGACCCCACAATGGAGAGAGGGACCTATGGGTCCCAAGACACTGTGCAATGCTTGTGGCGTCCGATACAGGTCTGGCCGTCTCTTTCCGGAATACCGGCCTGCTGCTAGCCCCACTTTTGTAGCATCATTGCACTCAAACTGTCACAAGAAGGTCGTGGAGATGAGAAGCAAGGTCATCTAGGAAGCTGTTAGGGGTTCTATGTTGGCTTTCATCAAATCTTCCTGGAAATTCTGTTGGCTAATTTTGTGTAGGATTTTATTGAGGAAGAAACTATAGTCCCAAACTGGATCCTCCTTATTTATTGTTTTCTTTTTAGTCTAATGTTAAATTGCTTAAGCATTATTTGTTGAATGTAAATTGATTGGTGAAATAAGATGTAGTAGCAAAAGATCACTGGTTAGTGCTTGCTAGGCATTCAGGAAACATGGTAATGAAAGAGAATGGTATTCAGATGTTTGTTTAAATATAATCTCATCGCTGTGGCTGATGAAGCAGCCAGCCAGCAATTCTCTAACTGGATACTTGGATCCTTGCCATTGCATGTGCTACGAGGACATGAAGTCAAGGGTCAAATTAAGGCAAGGACAATGATATCACATGCAACATGGCACAAAAATTATAGTAAAAGCACATGCATGGATGTTAGACCTGCAGGTTGGAATAACGCCTTTCAAGTCAGCTTCTAAATGGGTTGGTTATTTACCCTGCAAAACAGGCTAGTAGATTTTGTTTCTAACAGCATGCATAGCTTAAAGAGCTAGCTCATACTAAAGCCCGTTTGTCTGTGCGGGCTGACCTAATTTTTTTCTTAAAGAACATATTTTCTGTTTTAAAATTTGTTTTATATTTTAATCTCAAGTATACTTTTAATGTGTTTTGTAAAATTCTATATAGTTAAAATATATTTGTTCCTTCTCTATGCTGACATCCATTTTTATTCTGTTTGTCTGGTTGACAACATATCACAAACCATTCATCTGAATGAACTAAGGGGAAAAGGTGTGTCATTTTAAATGACACACCTTACATCATTTCACTCTCATAAAGAGGTGAGATTTACATCTTTAAAACTTTTTTTCTTCACTCTCTCTTTTGATTTATCTTTTTCTCTCACTTAAAATGATACAACTTTATGTCATTTAAAATGATATACATTTTTTCCATGAACTAATGAAGATTAATCCATCATCATGTTTGGATTAATTTTATCGTATATTATTGGAATAAAGATCTAATGCAAATATAAACTGGACTTATGAGCCCGAAACTAAAAGCAGACCATAATTGACTTAGTAGCCAGTAAGTCATGTATCCAAAGCCATAAACTTTTCAGAGGTAGCCCATAGTCACACTTATTTTCTTCTTCACCCCAAACCCAAATAATTCACTGTCAAACAAATTTGAAAAGTCAACCTGGCTTGCTATTATACTAAATATTATGTATTATTTTAAGGAAAATATTACTCTCCTCTTACATAAGATATATTCTCTCATGTTCTCTCACTTCGATTTTCGTACTCCACTTTTTTCTTTTTCTTTTTTTTTCTTGTAATAGTGAAACTCACCTATTTTCTCTCTACAACATAAGATAACTATCTTATGTTAAATAAGATTAATAAAACCCTTATTTTAATTATCATAAACAGGCTGTGCTCACTGCTTACATGCAAACATTCAATGAAAAGGGTCAAACAATAGTACCTTAATTAATTTGTTGAGTCTGTTGCTCCTTTTGATGCTGCCTTATTTTAAACATGCCCCATCTTAAAGGAGTGGTCCTACGTAGTCTTAATTAAGGTTTGGCCTTTTGGTGATTTTCCCATGCGTCCCCACCCCCTAGTGCCAAATTACCAACCAAATACCAAACTACCTCTAATTTAAAAGACTTAATTAATATGCCCTAACGATTTTGGTTTAAGTGCACATATATCAGTTTTTCGAAATGAAAAGTAAGTACATGCATTAATCCAATGTAGTGGCATCAATTTCTTCCACCCTTCGTACTATAACATTCTGTTTTTAGATAGCTACACTCCTCCATTACTTCTCTATATGCATCATATCCTACTCCTCTTATGGGATAGTGAAGGAGCAAGGGATCGAAATCATTTACTTCTCCTATTTTTGTTTTTGTTAACAAACGGCCAATTGATTATTTGGTGTCAGACTTTGCCTGGTGGTAATTCTATTCAATTCAAACCAATAAATAGTGTTTAGGTTGTAATGTACTTCAATTCATTGCAGCTCATAATATATCATATATATATATATTATTTATATTGATGATGTCGTTTTCTTTTTTCTTTTTTCTTTTTTGGAAGAAATGATGTCGTTTTCTTGTTTGGTTGAAGACAATCAAGAAATTAAAATGACCAAGAAAGAAGATTGCTCTATTCTTCTCTATTTGTACGCCGAAGACATATTACAAAACTAAAAAATAAAATGAACGAATAGGACATGATAGCTACTATTTTCATTTTGTAGAAGAAGGGAAATTTTTTAAAAAAAAATGTGAAAAAATGCAAGTTTCAAAATAATATAAACCATTAAAAAAAACTCTCACTCAATAGCTTAAGCTTTTCGGTTAAATTGACTTTTTATATGCTATCAGAGTTTCAGTATTATAGGTTCAATTTTCACTGACCTATGCATTATCCACCCTTTAAGTTTAGTGGACTCTCGTGTGAGAGAGAATATTAGAGATATATAAAATTATTAATGTAATTTCATCTTATAAGTCTTAATATTATATAAAAAACCAATTTAATCCAAAAAAAAAAGAAGTTATTTTCTAACAATGCACGAGTGACATAAAGCATAAAAGCATAGTTTTTGTCTTAGTTACACAGCAAAATAAAGGGATTGTAGTTTGTCCTTTAACATGATACCATCAAATTTTTTACACACATAATATTTTGTGGGACTCGTACTTTTTAAAACAAAGAAAAATTAAAAAAGTTAAGACACGCAAAACAAATCTCTATAACATTACACAATCATTTTTCTTACGACATATAACTCTTATAAAACTCCAAAATAAAATTAGGATGATTGCATGAGGTTATGTTAAGGTTAAGATAACCAAGTACCAATCAAGCAAGGTCTTGATCCGACATTCTAACTCTCCTGAGAATGAAAGAAAACGACACGTGGCAAGTGGTAGTGCGATGGGCCAAAGGGCACTGTCAGAAAATTTCAGTGGCACTACCCTCACACATTGATTATACAAATTTGATACCATATGATCCACGTGGCAGCATCTCCCTTCACCGGAATCAAATCGCCAACCACCGACCGAGTTTATACAAAAACCTCACATCATTGAAGCAGAAAGAGACAAACAATAAATAATAAAGGTAAACGCAAAAGCCACGTTTACATTTTTTTTAACCTTATAATGCTGCATGCTCCTTTGCCTTGACTTTTAGTCGTGCCAAGTTACCACCCTCTCTTTTCTACTGTGACAAAGAGAACACAACGACAGAGATTCCTGAGAGAGAGAGAGTGTGTGTGTGTCCCCATCATTCATCACCATGCTGGTGGGGCCCCTCGGGTTATGTTATAGGTCCCATCATCAGCCATCGAGGAACAGCTATAAGCCCACCTTGATGTTGACACGTGTCCAACCTCGACAGGTTAATGTCAGGTCAACTATCATCACTGAAGGTTATTGTCATATATACTGTAGATGTTATTCTTAGTACAAACAGCAAAGAAAATCAAATTGGTGGGAATGGGGTTATGGGGTTTGGGGAATGGTCCATTGTAAATAATGTGGAATTGACAATGGACATGGATGGATGCACTCAAACCTAGTTTAATTTTATCATCAATTATCGTTGTCAGATTCAGACCAGATCAGTGATCAGAGAGAGGACAGCCACACCATCCATCCCTTTTATTTTGATTTTGGCTTGGTTTGGTGGAAGAGTGATCAAAGCGCACTGTTTGACAAATTTTTTATTCAAATATCATGCGAATAATATTTTTATTAGACTGTCAGGATAAGATATATTTCGCTACGACGGGTAGCGACTTATGTTTGTCAATAATTTTGTGACACGTGGCATATTTTCGTTAAAGAAAACTGACTCGACATAATTTGCTATTAGAGATAACGAATTTGGTACGGAATGTGGTCACGTGTCACAAAATCATTGACAAACATAATTCATTGTCAGTCGTAACAAACGTCACGTGACAGTCTGGTAAAATATACTATTCGCATGACATTTGGATAAAAATTTATCAAACTTTGACACTTTGGTCACTGTCCTTGACATCTTCTATCGATTATTTTGTATATCTTTTATCAAATATAAAAAAAAAACAATGTATTTATATTATGTTTATTTTTATAGTTATAGTTATTTTTTTTTTCATATTTTTCATTTTTGATAAAAAAATATTTACTTCCGTTACACACACAAAATAATATGCAAGTCACAAACAATGGCGAAAGTTGAGTTCATTTGTCAATTTCCTGGGACCAAATTTGTTCAGGCCCCTGCTGGGGTGGGTCCGATATGGTCTTGGAATGGTAACATTTATTGACAATTTTCGTTAACGATAATGGATTCTTTTGGCTTTTGGGATGCATGTGAGTTTTGGTGGAGCACCTTAACTTAACACCTCCTTCCCCTTAAATAAATGTAGCAGAAGAAAATGGTTTATAGAATTATAGAGGAGACAGATTCTGCTTCTTCGGAAAGATTATTTATCAAGAAAACTGGTTAATAAGTGAAGGGCAGGGACCGCATATATACATTTAATTAAAAAAAAATTCCAAGAAGTTATGTTTAAATTTTCAATGAAAAGTAAAATGAAAGGAAAAAAGATGGAGTGATACTGTGACATACAATGAAATAAATTTATGATAGTATTATTTAAATATTTTATGATGTACGTAAGAGAGTAAAATTTTATTTTTATTATTTTCAAATTAATTTTATGTGCTAACATAACCTAAAAAAAGACAAAGAACCAACAAAGTCTAGCACAGTTAGTAGATAGTTGGGTTCCTTAAGCATGCTGACAGGAGTTCAATTCCTGGCCATGCGTATGAAAAAAGCTTTGTTGGAAGAGGTTTATTCACTTAATGTGATCTCCCGTCTCGAAAGAATTAGTCTTCGACTATCAGTCGAAAGATACCTTGAGAAAAAAAAAAAACAAAGAAAGGAAATTCCCAGCCGACAGAGAAAAGAAGGGTACAGAAACAATTACTATGAGCACGGATGAATGAATGAGGTTCTTGGGTACACACTACAAAGAGGACCGAGTGTGGGACGGCAAAATAAGACATTTGTTAGAAGTTATGGCCTTTGAGCACAAGAACGAGATTAGTTGAGGACAAGGGCCATGGGTGATATATATATATATATATATATGGCTAATACAATTCATTTCTTAAATTTATTATCCCCAACATTTCCACATTGATTGTTTCCTCCACATGTCTATCATTTCATCTTCGTGTATTAATTGTCTCGACGCTGTGTGTCTGTATCAATGTTGATTCTTAACCAACCAATCCAATTAATTATTTTTCCAATAAACACATCTTTTCTGGCTGATTTATCAACTTTTTTTGTTCCTTTTGCTTATTTTATTCATCTTGATATTGTTGTTATTGTCTTTTCTTTCTTAATATAAATACAAAAACATACATTAAACTTGTTTAAATGACATTTAATATTATTTATAAAGATAGACCCTGGTTGAACATAATAGATTGATATGTTAGATACAAGCTGGTACTAGCGACGTGGTCGCTTCACCTAAACAACTTGTGTGACCACATAGCCTATATGACTGTAAGCATATGCCCTGACAATGCTTGCTAAAATCGGCTACATGTCGTACGTGCCGATGGTTTTCCTTTGTAATTTTACCAATTGGTTTTGTCGGTTTGTGCCTAGTTATAACTGAATTTTATTTTCTGAGATATTTTGCTTTCAATTGCAGTATTTTAAAACTCACTCCCATTTCGGGATCGATCCAGTTGGGTTATTGATCCTCTCTTTGAGGATTAGGGTTAGTAATTAAGATCTACTTAAGAGTTGACCCCTCTAACCCTTGGCTCCCGATTGAACCTGTGACTCCAGGGTCAGATAGGTCAAAGGGGTCACTGCAATTTTTTTTAAAAAACAAATTATACACAAAATAACATTGTTTGTTGTGTAAAAAATAAAATAAAAAATAAAAAATAAAAAATCATTGCTACCTACGTTTAGAACTAAATCTAAAATCTAAAATCTGAATCGTTATTCTTATTCTCTTTCGATCTTTTCTCCTAGAACTAGACTCAGTCTCCCTGATCCGGTGATCTCCTCCACCGTACTGGTTCTTCTCTTCCCACCGTTAATTTATCGTGTCGCCGCCTCTCCTCTGTTATTCTCTATTTGGTAAGGGGATCTCTTTTCACATACTGCTGTAAGTGCATGAGAAAGACAATAAGAGCCTGAGTTTGATGATATAACTTTTTATTAACTCCATTGGAATTTGTGTTTTATACTTTAATAGTTTGATACTTTGATTAGCTTGTGAATATTGACTTGTGGATGTAATTGGTTGAATTATGTTAAGTATATTTTGAATCTTTAATGATCGGTAGTTTGAATTTTTTGAATTTTTCATATAGGATATATATTTATATTTTTTTAATGTATAAAATTGGGTCTGCGAAGTGACCTCATGACCCCCCGGTTGAACCCATGACCCCTAACCTCGGCCGAGTTGATGGCCGAGCCGAGTTTTTAAACACTGTTCAATTGAAGCTTTATTAATTTGATATGTTATCACAATCAAAGCGGGCATTTTCTATATGTATTATTTGATTTGTGTCTAAATCTCATGGGTTATACATAAAAAATGGATTGAGAAAGAAGAGAAAAAGGGAAGGTGAAAGAGGTGTATGAGTAGAAGTCTCACATTGAATAAGACATGAGAAGTGAAGGGGTTTATAGGCATCCACCTTGAAAAAATATTCAGTGATCCCCCTTCTCTCTCCTCTCTCTTCTCTTTCTCTCTCACTATCTCTCTTTCCGGCACACATGTGCCGGGATCACTGCATATTCTCTCATCCACCTCACCTTTTTAGATGTGTGCCGGGATCACTACATATTCTCTCCTCCACCTCACCTTTTTAGTTTGCCCCTCTGGCAAACTACTTTTGTGGAGGAGAAGAAAATATGCAGGTGAGCTTTGTTCTAGCACACGCGCCACTGTTCTCGACTCAAATTTCTATATTGCGAGTTCTATAATATTGTTCCATCTTGATGATTCAGATCCTGATCCTTGTGAATTAGATATCTTCCAATTCAAATGTCTTACTTCATAACATGTATTATACACATGGAAGAATTTGTAGGCCTATGCATGAGTAAAATAATAAATTCTTGGTACTATTTCTTTGTTAATTTATTTTTATAAAGTCACTAGTCGTTCCTGCGGTCGGCAAGAAAAGAACAAGATAAACATCCCGCGTCAATCCCTCCTTTGTCATAACCAAACAAGGTTTTCGAAAGCCAAGATCTTGGCATGAGGGTAGCGTTTTATTAGCACAATCACCAATTAGATAAAAGTTAACTCTACATTGTGGACAACACCATCTAGCTAGTGACATGCTCTTCACCATTTGATCTCACAAAAAGAAACACAACAAACTACTTCGCCAATATCTTAGTTTGTTGACAATTTCATAATTGTTTTATTATTTCCGCATGCATAATATAATGTTCAATATTGGAGCTTTTGAACTTATAAAAAAAAAAAAAAAAAGACACATAGTATTTGACTGATACATTGTTGAGTAGTAAGTACTCGACTTCATGACTGATACAACATTTTTAAGAGAAAGAACCAGCCCATGTCCAAGAGCAAGAGGCCCATATTTTTTCACTCTTTTTTTTTTCTTTCATTTGTGATTCTATTTATTTATTATTTATGTGCAATGCAACTATGCATTATGCAAGCTTAGATTAGACATCTACATGAAGAGAGTGTAGGGGCGGGTAAGTGAGTGTGAGAAGGGTGGTGTCCACCTAAGGCCAACCATTTCCACAAAGGCCCGCTTTTCCATTAACCTCATCCGACCAAAAAATCGTGGGCCCTCACTTCCTTGACCACCGTTCCCCACGACCCATATAAAGCGTGTCATGTACGCGTTACTGCCACTGGCAGAGTCTTGGACTTTTCTTTTTTCTGTTTTTGTCAATTTGGCAAAGTCTTGATACTAACTAGTTAAAGGCAGAGGGAGTAAATAAATAAGAAGTAAAAGAATAAAGAAAGTTTCATTTATTTTATGTTTACTTTTTTTTTAAATTACACAACTTATATCCTTTCACTCTTATAAAGAAAGAAATGGTACCTACACCTTTTTTTTTTGTCAACTCTCTCCTTCTTCATCTATATCTTTCTCTTTCTTAAAATGACACAAGTTTACATCCTTAAAAAAAGACACATACTTTTCCCTTACTATTATTATTATCATTAAATAAAGTAAATATCCAAATGCGTTACTTTGTCAGCTTATGACTTATTGCAGGCACAGCCAGAGTCAGAGGCAGCGATGTTGAGTTAAGTTAGCAGTTACTTATGCCATGTAATGTAAATGAATCAATTACCTTTAACTCGCGATATTTTCTGACACAATATCGTGACACAATGGTAATTACCTCTATCTCTCCTTCAATTTGGAAATAACTACTATCTTTATCATATCATGTCGTCATAATTATAATGGTGACTGTAGGCCAAAAAAAAAACAATACCATTCCTCTTCTCATTTGTTTATTTATTATTCTTATTATTATTAAATAAATAGTGGTTCGATTGTTTAGTTTATAGGCTCTGGAGAGTGTGTGTGAAATAGAAAATAGTTGTTTGTATCTTTCTTTTCTTCTTCCTCTGAGATCTGAGAGAAACCGAAAGATAAGAGAGAAAAAAAAAAAAAAAAATCAGCTGAGGAAGGTGAGGGTCTTGCGTGATTGTGAAGATATGATTCTGAATCTCTTGTAGTAGCTGCTGCTGAAAATCGGATTGATGAAATTGAAAACTCAAAGAGTCTCTCATGTTTCAGATTCTACTTCAAAATGAAGGCTTTATTGTGATTGAGTAAACCAGAAGAAAACCAATTGAGAAAATTCAGCAAGACCTTTTGAACGGGAAGAACGTGATGGTGTTTGGAAACTGAATGTGCAATCATACTGTTCTGTGGGGGAGTTAAAGTTTCTGTCTTTCTTTGTTGGGGTTGGAAGATTCGAGCTTTGCAACTGTGGAAGCAAGCAATCCAACTTTCTACGGCACATTTTCACTATTCTCCTGCTTTTCTCTGCGTAACAAAAAGGTAACAACATTTTCTCTCAACAAAGTCATCTCTGTTCCAATCTCCAAAGTTTTTTTTTTTATTTTATTTTTTCTTCTTCTTGAAAGCAAATCAATGAAGAAGTGGCTTACCTTCTGATTTTTCCAAACCATTTTGGATCTCTTTTGATTTCATAGTTGGTTGAGACCATTCTCACTGAGAGAGCCATCAGCACAAAAACCAAAAGCTTCTTCCACTGTTTGATCAACTTAGCTTTGTGCTGCCACAATAATCCAAATCCAACCAATGAAGGAAGCTGAAAAGAGCTTGGATCCGCAACTATGGCACGCATGCGCCGGAAGCATGGTTCAGATGCCTCCGGTGAACACCAAAGTCTTCTACTTTCCTCAAGGGCATGCCGAGCACGCTCAAGCCAACGTTGATTTTGGAGCTTCCATGAGGATTCCACCACTCATTCTCTGCCGTGTGGCGACTGTGAAATTCTTGGCTGACCCAGAAACCGATGAAGTTTTTGCAAGGATGAGGTTGGTTCCTCTGAGAAATTCAGAGCTTGATTACGAAGATGGTGGTGCTCTTGACGGTGATCCCTCCGAGAGTTCAGAAAAGCCTGCATCTTTTGCCAAGACGTTAACTCAATCCGATGCAAACAATGGTGGGGGGTTCTCTGTTCCAAGGTACTGCGCGGAAACCATCTTTCCGAGGCTGGATTACTCGGCTGAACCACCGGTTCAGACGGTGATCGCCAAGGACGTTCACGGTGAAGTTTGGAAGTTTAGGCATATATATAGAGGCACGCCACGTCGCCACTTGCTTACAACCGGGTGGAGCAGTTTCGTGAACCAGAAGAAACTGGTTGCAGGGGATTCTATCGTGTTTCTGAGGGCTGAAAATGGTGATCTCTGTGTTGGAATTCGTAGGGCCAAGAGGGGAATCGTTGGAGGTTCAGAGGCACCATCTGGGTGGAGCTCTGGTTCTGGAAGTTGTGGTCTTGGACCTTATGGGGCTTTCTGTGTTTTCCTCAGAGAGGAGAACAAGCCCTTGAGAAATGGTTGTGGGAACTCAAGTCCTGGTGGTGGTGGTGGTGGTGGTGGTGGTGGCAATTTGAGTGGAAGAACAAAAGTGACTCATGAATCTGTTAGGGAAGCTATGACACTTGCTGCTAGCAATCAACCGTTTGAAGTTGTTTATTACCCGAGAGCAAGCACACCTGAGTTTTGCATTAAGACTTCAGCTGTGAGGGCTGCTATGAGGATTCAATGGGGCTCTGGGATGAGGTTTAAGATGCCCTTTGAAACTGAGGATTCTTCCAGGATAAGCTGGTTCATGGGGACCATATCTTCTGTTCAAGTTGTTGATCCTATCCGTTGGCCTAATTCCCCTTGGCGACTTCTTCAGGTACTCTCTCTCCCTATGTTTGTTGTTAGGACGGTACAAAATTTGACATTCTTATCTTTTTCTCTTTTTGGTTAACATGTTTTCAGCAATCTGGTTCCTAAATCATTTGTTGATAAGAGCCATAAGGGGCTCAATTCTGATGCCCCTTTGGTGTTGTATTTGTGCTTTGTTAAGGTTCTCTTTTTATGAGAAGGTCTCTTACGAATCTGATTCTCTTAGTATATATATAAAACAAAATGCTTGAATGAAGTTGATCTAGAAGAATGCTTTATAATCCTGTAACCCCCCACTCTATCTTCATTATTATTTTCTTTTTTTTTTATGGGGTTAAGTTCTACAATAATTTACTTGCAGTTCTTAATCCACGAATATTATGGTTATCTCTTTCAGTTTCTAGGTTAGTTAGTAGTAGTACTCCTAAATGCCAATTTTATGTTGGGGAGATGTTTGTCTTTTTAATACTTGATTGTATTCAAACCATAGTTCAGATCAATATAATCTTGTAGAAAAGCTTATCATGCAATCTTGATTGATCTTGCTGATATCACTACAGGTTACTTGGGATGAGCCAGATTTGCTAAACAATGTGAAGCGTGTAAGCCCATGGTTGGTTGAGTTGGTATCAAACATGCCAGTCATCCATCTCACACCCTTCTCTCCACCAAGGAAGAAGCTTCGGTTTCCTCAACACCCAGATTTTCCACTTGATGTTCAATTTCCAATACCAACGTTTTCAGGCAACCCCCTTGGGCCTAACAGCCCCTTGTGTTGTGTATCTGATAATGCTCCTGCAGGCATACAGGGAGCCAGGCATGCTCAATTCGGAATATCATTTTCAGATCTCCATCTTAACAATAAACTGCAGTTGGGTGTGCTTCCAGCTAACATCCATAAGCTTGATTTGAATACTGGGATTTCTAATGGCAACATAACCAACCATGATAAGAGCAAAGAAAGCTTATCATGCTTGCTGACCATGGGAAATTCTCACAAGAGTTTGGAGAAATCTGATAATGTGAAGAGACACCAATTTTTGCTTTTTGGTCAACCAATACTCACTGAGCAACAAATTTCTAGAAGAGCTTCCAGTGATGTATTGTCTCAGAATTGTACCGGGAAAAATTCACCAGATGAGAATAAGGACAAAGAAAAGTGGTTTTTTAGTGACTCCCAATCTTCACCTCCACAGCAGTTTTCACCAGGAAAGTCCTCTACCACTGAGTTTTCTTGGCAGCTTGGATTGGAAACCGGTCATTGCAAGGTTTTCATGGAGTCAGAAGATGTAGGAAGGACCCTAGACCTGTCACGTCTTGGTTCTTATGAAGAACTTTACAGGAGACTGGCCAACATGTTTGGAATAGAAAGGTCTGACATGTTGAGTCATGTACTCTACCGTGATGCAACAGGTGCTGTTAAACAAACTGGAGAAGAACCCTTTAGGTATTATCCATTCTTGTTATGTCTTCCTTTTTTTTTTACTTAATGAATATTTTTATTAGAGTCCTATATTTTAATGGGGTTTTGTTTTTTTTTGCCATGACATTGCAGTGACTTCATGAAGACAGCAAAAAGATTGACAATTCTGACGGCTTCAGGCGGCAAAGATACAAGAAGGTGATAAGAAAATAAATAAATAATTGAGATATCTATCTATCTATCTATCTATCTATCTATAGGATGTTTCTCTTAGGTGGTGTTTGGTTTGGAGCTTTTCAAGAGATATTTATGTTTCTCAAGTATGGCTTTTAGAAACACCATGTTTGTTTCAACATATTTTCACCAAAAATCCATCTATCCAATTTGTATGGATTTATGAGAAACATAGATATCCGCACTGTTGAGAAACCCAGTTTGAAGGCGAGATTTTTTGGAAAACCGATTATCTCACTTTTAATGCAATGTTGATTTCATAAAGTTACCTAATTTTTCGAGTAAAGTTTTTTCCCACCAAACAACTTTTTTTACATTTTTTTAACTATCCCACTTTCCAATCATTTCTCTATCTATCTCATTTCTTTACTATTCTAAAAAAATTTCTTCAACCAAACGCCCCTCGGAAGATCAGTGAAGTACTAAACAATATTTTTGGTATGTGTAACTGTTCATGTATGTGACTTTAAAGTCTGTTTTGTAGGGTGTGGATTACAGGAAGTCGAAATGCTGAACATGGATTAGATGCATCAAATAAGACAGGTGTTCTGAGCATATTTGCTTAATATGGCGTGGCATCTGATATTGTTTAAAGATCCGAGACTTTGAAGGACGTAGTTATCTATCACTCTTACTTGTTAGAGAGATGCTGAATGTGAACTAAACTTTTAATCAAGATTGGTGTCTTTGTTTTTTTCCAAGTGTAGAAAATAATGATTATTGTGTATCATAGACGATTGTTGTTCTAATATTAACCAAGATTTGGTTTCCACGTCACTATTTCTTTGAGAATTTGAGTATAATATGTTGTGTGCGGACACACAGAAAAACTGAGGTCATCAGTTGAAGTCATGATCTGCCATTGCTACTGTAGTTTACATGATGTGGGTCTAAAACATTTCTCTTGCTGTGACCCATCGATTGGGGGCTAAAACCTTTAATTTTAAAAATATAATTAAAGTTAGTGATAATAATAACATACACATAGAAATTAAATTTTTATTAGCTAGTTAGCATAACTCAATCGAGGCTGTGCTGTTGTTATACGTTGAAGGTTTGAACTTTCATTTTCCCAAAAAAAATTTAAGTAGATTCATATTCTTATTTTTCATTCCCATTTGGATATAATCGGAGCCTATGATGCACGGACACGACACGATACGCTGACACGTTAATTTTAAAAAATGTCATATTTTGATACGTTGGGACACGTTTTGATATTAAATAAAAAATTTAATATATATAATATAATTTATATTTAATACATATAAGAGTCTATAATAAGTCATATAACCAATCAAATATTTAAATTTCATAACATAAATATAAATATAAATAATTTTTCGTACTTTGTTAATTTTTCATGTCAAATTTCATAATAGAAAAAAATTAATTTATAAATTATTTCTTTTATATTTAGTTAACAAAATAAAATTAAGATTAAAAAAAACGTGTCCTAGTGTGTCCGAGCGTTGACCGCGTGTCGAAAAAACGTGTCGGAGAGTTGACCACGTGTCGGACGCGTGTCCGAGCATGTCTGTGTCGGACACGTGTTCGACACGCAAATTTTAAAAAGAAATTGTGTGTCCGTGCTTTCAAGATTGCAGCTATTTTTTTTAAAAATAAATTATACTCATTAAAAAATTATAAATTTAAAAATATAACATCAGACACTGACATTTATATCAGTGTACCAAACAATAATACATTTTGTTTTAAAAAATAATGGCATATCAAGTCAAGACGAACTAACCAAAATGCAATAAAAATTGTATCAAATTTAACTTTCAAAATCCAAACTTGACCAATGATCTTTGATCTGAGATCCCCACAAGGCCACAACAATCATTGCAATCCAAACAATTTTAGGCAACCGATCTTTATCTTTTCCCTTATAAAATAAAAAGGAGGATTCATTGAATGATAGATGTGAAAAACAGATTAAACATCTTATCAAACTATGTTACATAAATTGCTAATGAATTTATAATAAATTCGTAGCGGGGATCCCCATGATTGTAAGGTTTCAGAATTCTTGGTTTTCAATGGCTTATAGTTTTTGGTTTTGACTTTATTAGCGCTTGGCCTCTTGCTATTTCAATTTTTAGGTAATAAACATGAGTCATGTTACTTTCATGGTTTCCTGTTTATGGGTATTATATGAAACTGTCACCTCTCTGCCATCTTAAAATGATGGCATTGAAGGCATATAGTAAAAAGTTGAAAGGAAAGGTTTGTCTCTTGTCAAATTAGAGTAGTAGTAGTAGTAGCAGCATCATTATGTGAGTTTGTTTTGGCATTTGGAAGTTAGCACAACCCGCAAGCTACTCACTTTGGGTTGAATATTGAACCTAAACCCGACATTGAACTCTTTGACTAGTGCCTTTTAAATTTTTGAATAAACACTCTTTTTGGTCCCTGAAAATATCTACGAAATTCTTTTTAGTCCCGACAATAAAAAATGACCAAATTTGTCCCTAAAATTATGAAAAAAAGGGCCATATTAGTCCTTATGTCAACTCCTCCGACACTAATGTGGCCCTTTTTGCATACTGTTAGGGACCAATTTGATGTTTCTTTATTGCCGGGGACTAAAAAGAATTTCGTAGATATTAGCAAAGATCAAAAAAGATGTTTACTCTAAATTTTTCAAATTCAGCCAAAGCCAAGAAACCGCAACCACCCTCTTGTGTTTCTAAAGTTTTTGTACAATTATTAACTTAGAATGGTCACCATGTAGGTCCCCCTCACCCCGTGGCAACAGTGTATTCTCAAATTCTTAGAGCAAATATTGAAAGAACATCATCCACTTCAATCATCGACATTATTCATTTATATATATATAAATATAATATGGTTGGTTTAACCAGCAAGACATTATAATGGAATAGGTTAGTCCTGTCCCTATCACTGTCTCACTGTCAATTTCATAATCATCTTTCAATTTTCAAACAAAAACTTGAAAATGTCATTGAACTATTCTATGCCAGTAGTGTGTGGGTTGGTGCTGTTGTGGCAAATTGATGAATCAAAGGGTATAATTAATCTTGTTGATCACGAGTGTGTTTGGTTTTTTTGGTGCAAAGAGCAAAGTGTGAACGTATCGTGTTTGGACAAAAGACCATTCGTTTAATAGGTGAGGGGCAAAATAAATTTTGTTACCTCAAATAGCGCAAATGTATGGTTTGCAAGAGTAAAATGTTGAGCCAGATTTTTGAGATGCTTAGTTGAAAATGATACGGTAGAGTCAAAAACCCTTTTAACATTTAGAAATGTTTAAGGAAAACATTTTTAATCGACGTGAAACTTCATCACTATTCACACTCGATTATTTCTAATATTCTCCCCTCGAATGTGAGGCCCAATATCATACATCACACTAGTCTTTTGCAGACGTCTTAAAATATCATCATTTCCAAATACTTAGTTGAGAATTCCAAAACCCTTTGTAGGTCTTTTTTGCACTTACGTAGTACTTGCTTGGAATATTTGTGATCGACGTGGAATTTCATCACTACTCACACTTGATTATTTCTAACATTATCATCCATAAGTGAATTAATTAATAGGATGAAATGATCAACTATTAGTAGCTAACTTTGAGGGTGTTTCAGTGAGGTTGGGATCTGAAAAGCCAGAAAACATTATATGGGTTTTGAAATATTTGTTGTGGCAAATTGACGGGCAAAATGGGTTTGGTCTCAAATTGTATTGTCCAAATTACACCAATAAGTGAATTGAATCCTATTTCTACGTGAAACGTTGAAGACTGAGGACATACATACAGGTCCATCTCAATCCCAAGAAAACCACCTTAACATGAGTGTTTTGTTGAGTCCTAAGCGATAGCCACACGTGGGAGTGGGACCAGACCAATACCAAAGCAGATGAGGATTGAGGTAAGGTAGAGAGAGAGAGAGAGAGAGAGAGAGAGCTGAATAGTGAATATGAATACCGCAATTCTATATTTGACAACAGACAGTTGCACGTGCTGTGTTGCCGTTTCGATGGCCGAGTCTTTTGCCCATTTTAATGGCGTTTTGGGATTTGACTCCAATCCACCTACTCTATAATTCTCTAATAATGTATTGTCGTGGGTTTTATAAGAGTTATGTTGTAGAAAAAGTGATTGTGTAATGTTATAGAGATTCGTTTTGCGTGTTATAATTGTCTTTTTTTTCTTTTTTCGACACAAAATATTGTGTGTATAGAAAGTTTGTTGTGTCATGTTAAATGACAAACGCAAATTCCATTATATATTACATCTTTCTCCTTTCAAATCCTCAAAATTAAAATTCAGGTTCAGGTGTTTGTGAACCAAAACTGATATATAACAACATATTCATTCACTTGTATAAGCTGAAATTGTATTATACAACATATATATATATATATATATATATGATATATGACTTAATTATTAGAGATCAGTGTCAATTTGCAAGACTACTACCAAGCTTGACCATAATCAAAGTATACCAATGCAGAAATCTATGGATGAAAATGTAGCAGCTAAACAATTACCAGTCAAATGGTCAAAGGGGGGCATGCACTGGAAGTTTGTGTCCAAATAAGAAGAAAATTAAGGAGGCATAATGCCAATTCACAAGGTGCAAAGACAAAGAAAACTCGTTCCGAGGAGTTGAATCTCCTTGTTTTCAGTTACAAAGCCGTAGTTTCTGGAGCTTGTTTTCTTTGCTCTGTGATAGTGAAGCATCTTCCTATTTCCCACATTTCACTGATGAAATTCATGTTTTTTTCCCCTTTTGCGGCATTACATTGCAAATCTTGGTTTGCCGCATGCTAATTAATTTCCCTTACGTAGTTTTATTTATGGATTGATAATTGCATATGGTTTTCTAAGTTTTGTAGAGTCGGTGATATTTGCATTTCGTTGTTATTTATATGATGTTTATACTACTTTTAATAGTTGTACAAAGTTGATTACAACATATGGTTGATTTTATACAGATAAAAACACCCACACAAAAACCATTAAATTAATATTTCTGACCGTGCAGTAATTCTCAACTATCAATATTATTTAAAGCATACGAGAATAAGAATAATTAACTTTTATTGTTTCTCAATTTTCTTTATTTTCCCCGATGTAATAGCTTATCAAACTAAGTAGATGGCAAAAGTAGATTGTATGATGAGGGAGTTGGAAGGGGTAAGGTAAGGATAGTCAAATAATAATAATTGAAAGAAAGAAAATGTGGCTTAAGCACCATAGCGACAGAGATATGCTGAGGTTGGCCTGCAAGACCCACCAACCCGTGCGGTGGACCCTATCTTTTTCTTTTCTTTTTTGTCTTAGCTTGTTTTTATATAGTTTTGGCTAATCAAATTATAAAAAAATATATATAATATGAGAAATAATTATCTCATGTTACATGAGATAATTATCTCGTACAACAGAAACAAAATAGTAGAGTCCACTATTTTTTTACTTTTTTAAAAAAAATAATAGACCTCACAATTTTATCTATGTTGCATGAGATAATTATCTCATGCAACATGAGATTAATAGATTTCATATAATATATAAAAAAAAAGAAAAATACTGTGCCAGTGTGTGAATTGAAATCAGGACTAGAGTCCTATTGCGTGGACAAGTGGTATACCATTGCCTTGATCAATTTAACGACGAGATTACCATTATGGAAGAACTTCTCTCCTTCTCGCGAGAAACTAAGTTTGCATCGTTGAAAATGAAAATGTTACATCTCTTCCCAATTCGGGACGTGACATCATTAATTTGATA